TAGTTAAGATTATTATAAATATATTTTAAAAAGAAAATATTAAGATAATAATCTTTGTAAACATTTATATTATATATAATTAAAAAAATAAAATCCGAAGATATTAATTTTTTTATTTTAATATAAAAAGTAATAATTCTGTTAAATAAATTAATTATAATATATATTATAAGAATATGAACGTTTTTTCAATTATATTAAAATATTATTAAATTTTATAAAGAGTTTATAATTAAAAAAAATCTTTAAATATATTTAAAAAAATTTATATTAATATGATTTATCTCGGGTATAAATAATCTAAAGAAAATCTTATATTTAAATCATTTTTTTAAAATTAGATAAATAAATGGATTTTATAATTCTTTCTGTTTTAGTATTTGTATTATTATCAATAAATTTAATTTATTTTATTATAGATTTAATAATATTTTAATTAAGCCTATAAATTAATTTGTTCAAAATATAATCTATTTTATTTATATCGTGCGTATAAAAAAATTTTATAATTAATTAAATTATTTATAAAACTATATTAATTTCTATTTATATATAATTATTTTTAAACTAATTAAAAATATAACTGTTAGTTTATTTTTATATCTTTTGAATGAGCAACAGTCCGAATAAAGAATTTTTATTTATTATATAAACAAAAATGAAAATTATTATAATAATTTCTTCCAAGACTTTTATAGCTAGAATAATTTTTATAATTAAAAATTCTAGTCTTAATCTTAAGAATATTAAAATAATTCTAATAAACAAAGATATCAAATAATACTAATAATTAAAGATAAGTATATTACTGTATATACTACTGACGAAAGTATTATTAATTTTATATACATTAATCTAAATTTTTTTATTTATTATTACTAATTATAAATAGTGCATTACTAAATTGCTTATTTATTCAGATATTTTAATAGATAGTATATTATTTATTTTTAATAAATTATTTTTAATTATTTATATTTATATATTTATAAATATTTTATTTGCTGTAAAATCTTCTAATACTATATTTATTTAGTTAATTCCGAATACTTTTTATTTTTTAAAAATTAATTTCGGTAATTTTAAGCTTTTTATTTTTTAAATAGTATAAATATTTATAAAAATAGTGATAAAAAGAACTTATAGATTTTATTATATTTTTTAATATTGTAATAGGATAAAGAAGTCAGTTAGGTATAGAGTAGTAGCAGTCTTATTAATTTTAAGACTAATTCTTACTATTCTAAAAATCTAATAAGATCCTAAGAATTAAATACTGAAGAAGATCTGAGTTATTAATATTATAACTATTATACAGAAAATATATAAATAGATTGTTAATAATTTACTATAATTATAAAAATTATTTATAATAATTAAACTTTCTTTTATATACAGTAGTTTTCAGCAGTATAATAATAGTATAGTACTGCTGCTTTAGTATAAAAGCTTATTATTTTCAGAAATATAATAATAAATAGTAAAAAATTACAGACTAATCCCGTTTAGAATATATATTATAAATAATACTATTCTGCTTTAGAAATACTATAATTTTTTAATAATAATATTAATAATATAAATATACTTTTACATATCTTTCTCAATATTCTTAATATTATTAGTATTATTTATTTTATATCGAAAAACTTATATTTTCTGTTGTTTTTATATTTATTTATTTATTTTAATATATATATATAATATTTATATTCTATATTTTTTTTAGTATTACTAAAATACTAATAAGTAGCTGCAGTATTTTCTATAAATTAAAATATTTATATTATTAATTTTTTATTTTCTTACAGAGACTTCTTTCTATTCTAAAATTATATTTTATTTTAAATATTTAAAAGTTTTAGTAAAAAAACTACAAACAGAACTCGGAAGAAAAACTTAAACTAAACTATATTTTTAATATAGTTTTATTTATAAAATATTATTAATATACAGTATAAAAAACTAATTACCTGTCTGTAAATAATTCTATTTTTTTTAATTTATTTTTAAAATATATCTAAATATTAAATAAACAGCTATAGAAATATTGGAGAATGTTAGTAATTCTATTAAAATTTTATATTAAATAGTCGGATTTTAAAATACTGATTCTAAAAAGATTTAAATTTTTTATTTTTATAATTTTTCTATAATTTAATTTATAAACTTACAGCTAAGTTTGCCGACGCGGAGAAGATATATTAAATTAAATATTATATATTAATAATTATAAAAAAATAATAATTATAAATAGTTTTTTTAATTTAATAAAAATATATTAATAATCCAATAAAAATATACTATAGAATATTATAATTTTATTATAAAATATTATATATTAATTATTTATATTAATAAAAACTATTAATATCTATATTTTTTATCCGATAATATAAAATATATATTTTAAAAACTCGCTATTTTAACTTTTTTAAATAATATTATTTAAAAAGTAATTTATATACTGTCGGATGGCCAGAAGTCTAAATAAGCTGCTATTTAAAATATTTTAAAATTATTTTTTATTAAAATTATTTATAGTTTATAATTTTTTTAATAGTTTAAAATTATTTAGTTTCTACTTTAATATTTTTACAGTAGTATTTGATTATATTTAAATCTATTAAATATATATAATTCAGATTTTTTTTAAAGTTATTTTTTTTATAGTTTATATATATAGTTGTAAATAAAATAAATATATAATATAACAGATTTGTATTTTTTTATTATAAATTGCATACGCATTGTATATATTTTATAATTATTTTATTATTATTTTTATTATATATTAATTTTAATTTATATTTTATAAAGTAGAAAAATATAATCTGATTATTAAATTTATAAATTTTTTATTAAATATTTACTAAATTCTCTACCGGTAATTATTAATTATATTTAAAGAATTATATTTATTATTTTATTAAATAAAACTAATTTTTTTAATAATATAAATAATTCAGTATCTGTTTTATTTTCTATTCTTTATTATTATCTAAATCTAATATTAGTAAAGTTTCGAAAATGTTTTTTCTAACTTTTTAAAATTTCAGTAAAGTAATATAAAAAATATTATATAATTAAATATATTTAATAGAAAGATATAAATAAAATATTTATTTTTTATAGTTTTTAAAATTTTAAAAAGTTTTATAAATTTTAGAATTAATTTTTAAAATATTTTTTTAAATTTAATATTTGCAGTAGATAGCTTAACTAAATATTTATGAATATACTAAATAAATTTTTCATATCATTTGAAATTATAAAAGATGATAGGATTAGTAATATTTCATTTGAATATCTTTTAAAAATGAAGCTATATAATATCATAAAGTAGACTAACTAAAATAATAGATATAACAGTTTAGATTAAAAAATCTTAATAATATTTTTTAATTTAAATAGCTATTTAATTTGATTATTCTTAGATCTATAAATAAAATAGAGCTTAGAAGCTATATTACAATTAGAAATAAGATTGAAGACTAGATAGAATATATAACATATATAGAGTGGTTAAAATCAGCAGTATATTTCTATAGACAGGATTGACTGGGTGTTCTAAGTCTGCACTGTGATAAGTAATGGTTAATAAAGGGACTAACTTCCTTAGATAGCCAACTTTTGTACTGAAAATATTATTGAAGTATCTTATTCTGTATTAGAGTATAATCATATAGTCTCTCGAAGACTTAGAAGTCTTACTGCATACTACATAATGTTTAGCTGCAGTAATATTAGAATTACAGCCGCTGTCAATAGCCGTTACGGAGGCGACCTGGCTTTAGCCGGGTGGGGGTTGCCAAGCGATAAATAAGTATTTGCATTTCATTGACTATGCATCCGGGTCGCTTGGTGGAGCATTAAGTATGGTTTCTGTAAGCATTACACTTCCGTTGACACTTCTCATCAAATAATCTCGGCACCTGACCGCATTTACCATCCTACCCGTTGATTTAGCCCTCCACTGACTAGCCTTGTTTTAGCACCAACTGCTTATAGCATGTGTAGTTGGCGCCGCGGGCCTCTTGACCTTAATGTGGTGTAGTGCCCAATTGTCATCTCTTTCCAAAGCTACTGTGCTCCTACTACTGACATTAGGCTCTCTACATTGCTTTGCCTTCGTTTCCATATAGAATGATTGAATGAGCTCGTCAAGGCACCTCCATCACACGTCCACTTCATATTATAGCATTATCGCAAAAGCTCCACAGAACAAGGCGGATACACCTCCCTCTATTCCTGTGTGCTATCTTCTACTGCAGCCTTCCCACGAATGCAAATAATTCAGCCCGGAGGCCGCATATTGATAAGACGATGAGCTTAAATCACCGAGACGCAGTCTCATCTGCTGAGGGCGAAGATCAAAGTGCGTTGTCCGAAGTGCCCAAGATGCAAAAGTCCGGCACTTTCCAGGTATGACCGCCGGCATGTAATAGACAGTCAGCGCACTTACACCCGGATTACCCCAGCACAATTTTCCTGTACAGGCGCCTACTCTGAGTAATAGGATCAAGGGGAGGATTTCCGAACCTGTTGCCGCAGCTTTCGTTGCCGGCGGCGTGGCCGGGGCCGTATCTAGGACCATTGTCTCGCCACTTGAACGTCTCAAGATCCTTCTACAAATACAAAGTGTTGGGCGAAACGAATATAAACTATCGATATGGAAAGCGCTGGTGAAAATAGGCAAGGAAGAAGGCTGGAAGGGCTATCTGCGGGGAAACGGGACTAACTGCATTCGCATTGTGCCGTACTCCGCGGTCCAATTTGGAAGCTATAATTTCTACAAGAAAGTCAGTGAGTTCAGCGCTGGTTGTTCAAAGCCTCCGACTCAGTCGCTACATGCCCCTTGTGCATTCTCATGTGAAGCCCAATACAAGGCTGACTTTACTTGACTCGATCGCCTAAAGTTCGCAGAGCCTTCTCCCAATACAGACTTGTCCCCTATCCGGCGGCTCATATGCGGAGCAGCTGCAGGGGTTACATCAGTGACGGTGACATATCCTCTAGACATAGTCAGAACTCGGCTTTCTATCCAGTCAGCCTCGTTTGCAGCACTCGGCCAGCGGGGAGCCGGGGAGCCATTGCCGGGTATGCTTACAACCATGATCCTAATATACAAGAACGAAGGTGGCATAGTAGCATTGTATCGGGGTATTATCCCCACAGTGGCTGGTGTTGCCCCATATGTAAGGACCGCATTAACATCACAATTGATAAATTTGGCTTGTGGACTGACAGCTATAGGTTGGTCTAAATTTCATGACATATGAATCGGTTCGCACTTATCTCACCCCGGAAGGCGAAACAACGCCCAGTTCCGTTCGTAAATTATTAGCCGGGGCAGTTTCCGGGGCAGTGGCTCAGACTTGCACCTATCCATTGTAAGAGACCCACACACTATTGTCATCCTCACACACGGGCGGCCTCATACTCACCATTGTTGTACTAGTGATGTCTTACGTCGACGATTTCAGATTAACACAATGTCGGGCATGGGATATAAATACACATCGGTTGTAGATGCCGTGAAAGTCATTATGGCCGAGGAAGGAATACGAGGCCTATTCAAAGGAATCGTTCCCAATCTCCTGAAAGTGGCCCCAAGTATGGCCAGCAGCTGGCTCAGCTTTGAGCTGACAAGGGACTTCCTTGTTAGCATGGGCGAACTATGAGAATACAACCGTAGCGCGTGGAAATATTTCTTTAGTCCCTAAGAAAAGAGATTACTAATGCCACATAAACACAGTGGAGGAATAAGAACTTGTAAATTCTCCCATTGGAACGAGCAGGATCTTGTTCATTCATGGGAGTAATTTTTCCAACATACAACATTGTACTCTGTCTGATAATGTCCTGAAGTGCAGAAGAGAAAGTCAAGAATCTGAAGATTTCTATCCGTAGACAACATCAAGGTCAAGAATACTCCTACGCAGATAAAATAAGCTAAAGTATGGGTCTAAGAACAAGCTAGTACTACAACAACACATTTTTAATTACAAGGCATGAGCCAAGGTGGAGGCGGAGCTGTGCATTACACGTACCTACGGGTCCGAATAAAGTTATCCACCTATGCTGCCTGAGGCGCCAGGCAGCCAGGCATCAAAGTATGACCTGTTACGGATTAGACTAGGGCACAACCCGCACACACCGTCCATCTGAAAATCGTAGACTAAAATCCTGAGCAGCTTCACTTTACCTACGGGTGCGATAGCCAGCTAACCTACAGGTGTCCCATCAGAATCAGCAGCCATGGGTACGTCTCTAAATACTGCGGACGGTGCATGGTGTCGGCCGCTGAAATCTCATTTTTGTGAAACTCGCGATAGGCGTTGCTATCGCTGAATTGTGAACCGAACAAGTACTGATTTTGTATAGGTATCGACTTGGATCGCCACCATGTGCGCGGCACCCACCGCAAGGCGCCCAAGAGCGAGAACGTTTACTTGCAGGTCTTGGTGAAGCTCTATCGATTCCTCGCCCGTATGACACCAACCACTTCCTGAACATCAGAATGCCCAGCAAATGAAGACTGATAAATATGCTCCATGTCAGGTCGCACGGAATCAAACTTCAACAAGGTCGTGCTCCGTCGCCTTTTCATGTCCCGGATCAACCGCCCCCCGGTTTCTATCTCGCGTATTGTCTCCAACGTTACCGACTCCCACAAGGGCAAGACAATTGTCGTGATCGGAACCGTGACCGACGACAACCGCCTCCTCACCGTCCCCAAGCTCTCGATTGCCGCTCTCCGCTTTACTGCCACTGCTCGCGCCAGGATTGAGAAGGCTGGTGGCGAAACTCTTACTCTCGATCAGCTTGCTCTGCGCGCCCCCACTGGAGCCAACACTCTTCTGCTTCGCGGACCCAAGAATGCCAGAGAGGCTGTCAAACACTTCGGCTTCGGCCCCCACAGCCACAAGGCATGTTACATCGATTCAGTGGATTGGACCGGGCTAACACGTTACAGAAACCATATGTGCGCAGCAAGGGTCGCAAATTTGAGCGTGCTCGTGGTCGGAGAAGGTCTCGTGGATTCAAGGTTTAAAATAGGGTCAGACTCGTACTTTCCTTGTTAAGTAGATGCTGCCCAGGTTTGCAGGAGAATGTAGCACAAACTCAAGCACGTCTTCAACTATGGCTACCGCTCTATTACTTTGTCTCCTGCGCCAGGCTATCTGTTAATCATGAATAATCAGGTAGAGAAGCTTGGGCGCTAATCATGAATAATCAGGTAGAGAAGCTTGGGCGCCACGAAAATGAAAATGGATTAAAACGTTCAATTTTAATGATAGAATTTGTGACAGCATTTCACAAAGGTAGCACCTTATGTTTCCAGCTTTTTCCACTACCCGTTCCGGAATAATCCGCAGCTCGGTGGCCCTGCCCCCGGACTTTATACTTGTAGATGGTCAATCCATCTAAGCCAACAGGGCCTCTCGAGTGAACCTTGTTTGTGCTGATTCCAACCTCCGTACCGAAACCATAACGCATCCCATCTGCAAATCTCGTCGAGGCATTCCAGAAAGTTCCGGCGCTATCAACACCATTCATAAACTGTTCGGCAGTGCTTCTTGATCTCGTGACAATCATGTCGGTGTGTTTTGACGAGTGCCTGTTGATATGGGCAATTGCTGCGTCAAGGCTTTTCCCAGGTGAATCGTCGCCGGGTATAGTTTTCACCGCCAGAATGAGGTCCAAGAACTCGGTCTCGTAATCAGACTCGACAGCGTCCGAAATCAAAGAATGTTGTTGACCGACGATCTTGCTCGACAGCGCCTCTTTTGAAGACGAATCACAACGGAGTGATACTCCTTTAGCCAAGAGAGCCTCAGCAACAGCAGGAAAGATAGTATGGAGTACATCTTCATGCACGAGTAAGGTCTCTAGGGAGTTGCACGCTGCCGGGTAATCGGTCTTGGAGTCTACAATAACCTTCACAGCAACATCGGGATCGGCGTCACAATGTATGTATGCGGAGCAAAGACCGTCTGCATGGCCCAGAACAGGGATTTTAGTGTTGTCCTGTACGAAACGAACAAGATCCTTGGAGCCCCTGGGTATAACCAGGTCAATGTAGGTGTTCTGAGCAAGAAGGGAAGAGACGACCTCTCGCGTCTCAACCAACTGGATCGAAGCCTTTGGCACCTGAGTGTGTGCGATGGCCTCTGAAATCACCTTGGATATTGCGATGAAAGACTCAGTAGATTCCTTGCCACCTTGATCACTATTAGTCCCAGGCGATCTCTGTAAAAAAGAACAAAAGACATACCTTTGAGGATAGCAGCATTGCCAGATTTGATAGAAAGGGCAGCGATGTTGGCTATCACCTCAGGGCGAGCCTCAAAGATGATTAACAGCACCCCAATCGGGCAGCTGACTTTTTCGAGCGTCAGGCCATCATCAAGCAGTGTCCTCATGGTTACATTCCCGACTTCGCTACGTCAGCTCTTTGATCACATCGCAAGGGAGACGTCACGTAGTAATTTGGTGGGATCGATACCTGGATCTTGCAAGTCTCTGACACTCAAGATACCCTGAAGCATATCTTCGAATTTCCCGGGTCGTGACAGATCGAGCCTTTTGAGAACACTTTGATTGAGAACGCCGGCTTCAACTGCGCGCTCAGCAGCCGCGACATCTCTCGAATTGGCTGCTAGAATATCATTCCGGCTTTTCGCAATGGCTTCATGGAGCGCTGTCAGAGCATCATCCCTCTCCGCCCCAGATAGGGTTGCTAAAAGACGAGACGCTATAGACGCAGATTTCGCGATCTCGGCTGGTGAGGAATTTGTGAGGGACATCTTAGACCACAATACAAGTGAAGATGCTGAATGTTTTACCAATACAGGTTAAGAGCCTGAAGTAAGCCGTCTGTATCTCGGAATTCGGGGTGCCGTTCGAGCCTCTGCCAGACTTCGGTCAGTGAGTCACGGTTAGGACGCTAAAGATACAAGGTACGTAACCTGTAAATAACGCTACTAACCAAAAAGCCCGTAGTCTGGTGGGGTCCCAGGCGGTGCATTATGACCGCCTGGATCATAACTGGAACTTATTACACAATATTGAAACATATGTCGACATTACACCTCACACTCTGAATTGACCCAGCTGCGTACAATCTTACTACAGGTTTATTCATCCTAAAGGCAGCATCCTTAGCATAACGTCCGTGGGTCACGTCGGCCGAATCCCTTGTTCAACCTCGGGAGCATCTTCTTAGCTAGTGGAGAACATCATTTACCTACTTCACCCAGCTCATACTCATGCTGTTTTGACGCCTCAACCATCACTCTGGACATTACCTCTATTGCACCATACACATGAGATTGCGTTAATTATTGAAACCTTCAAAGCCAGTCCTCATTTGGGCGCAGAGTTTACTCAGTCTTCCTCGGGGCATCAAAACAAACCCGATCCCATAGCCTAATCATGGCAGAGTCTGTTGAGCAGATTATCTCTTTATCATCCCATCTGCATTCTCCAAGTCTCTTGTCTGAAACCGATTATGTAAACCGGGTCCAGGCATTGGTCGCTATTCTCAGGCGATCAAGTCACAGCCTTCTCAGCGAGACTGTCTTGACTGTAAGCAAAGCTATACAATTTCTCAGGAAGATGACGGGCATATGCGGCCTCTATCAAAGTCTGTACTGATCTGGAGTCTAATTCTGCAAAGGACCTGAGTCCCCACGAGCACACTTTACCCTACTTATTCGTGTTGCTACATCAGATTGACTTGGCACGCAGCAGAACAAGAAGTGCTTTGCCAGACGACATAAAGCCCGGTGGCCGACTATGGTCTCCAGCCGTACAGTTTTTGGGAGAGTTTAAGGGACCTCAAGTTCATTTCGCGGGCCATGAATGGCGTCAACTTGTGAATATCATTCTAGATGCCGCAGAAGATGACTCGAAGGCGAGTTTCTCTTCTACATATCCATTTATTCGTTTTAGGCATCTAACATGCCCCAGCCAGTATTAGCAGTCCGCGTTCTGAGTGGCGCAATAATGCGAATTGATCAAAACGTGTGTGGATTCTCCTCGTTGCACCCAAGGTTTCTCCGACTGTGCCTGCTATCGCAGTCTTACAGCTATGCATTGCCCGTACTTGATAAACACGTATCCAGTAGTCATACAAGCTTGGAGCAGCCTGCCCGGGGTGACAACGGATACATGCTAGCCTCGAATAGCGATGCCAACGATTGTATTGCAGAAGCACCCGACATCTCTGCCAGACTGACACACAAGGATATTGCGCAGTACTATCTCTACGGTGCCATGATATATATGGCACTTAAAGAGTGGGATAAGGCCCTGCACTGGTTGAGTGTTGTGATTTCTTTCCCTGTTGTCAATTCAGTGAGCAAAATCATGATTGAAGCATTCAAGAAATGGGTGCTTGTGGGCTTACTGAGACACGGCAAGGTGAGTTAGCACCGTGGTCAGGGTGAAATCCTCATTCGAATTTCACTAATCGCTTGAGTTAGCTCGTTACTGCTCCAAAGATAATATCCTCGCATGTTATGAAGATATATCAAGCCGTCGCAAGACCCTATCTTTCCCTCGCAGATGCTTTTGAGAAGTCGGATGAGCAGAGATTGCGCACTGAGGCGGATTTAGGGAGATCAGTTTGGTGTGCTGTGAGTCGATGCATGGGCAACCTCTAACACTAGCGAAATTCGCTGATACTTTACCAGGATCTCAATTCTGGCCTTGTTCGCCAGCTTTTCCAGGCCTATGAAACGTTTCTTGTACTCAAACTTTGCAGGGTTTTCTCCGCTCTGACAACAAGAGATATCGCAGCAAAAGCGGCGTCTTCAGGTTCGGATTCATCAGCGAAGATCGAGAATTTGATTGCGTTTCTTGTGATGTCTGGAGTGCTAGGGGCACGACTATTGCAAGGGCCTTGCGATCTATCTTTCAGCATGTTGCGTTTCCCTAAGTCGATACAGTCTTATTGCGGTCCAAGCAGAATGAGGGTTGGGCTAATGAGGAAAAGCCATGCACTGGAGCTGTTAAGCCACAATTGTGGGGAATGTAACAATGAGTTAAAAATAGGCCGTGAGAACATCAATTTCCTTGTGAGATGCCAGGGGTGGTCTGGTGTTACAGGAAAGGGAGGCGGCAAGGGCAGTATCGATCATGCTGCTTTCGGGGTTGATGAAGACATAATGGGAGATCTTAGCTAGATATTCGTCATCCTCAAGTGGTAATTTCAAGTATCTATATTCTGACTATTTTGTCAAGAAAGAGGGCAATCAGTGCCTAAAACAGCGTGGAGAGTAAATGTTGATGTAAGATGTAATACTTATGGAATTACTGGCCCAAAGAGGAAAGCTTAATATGTTAAGATTTAAAAAATAATAAGAAAAAGATCCATATAAATATATAGTATTTATATGTTTGCAGTTCAGATTAAATTATATAGACTTACTGGATTAAAACATCATACATACAATATTAATATACTTCCGCAGTGAGTTTATCAAAAAATATTTTTAATGAAGATAATATATTTTTATAGTGTCTTAATTATGCAGATATATACAGCCAATAGATTATACAGCTAATATATAGTTTTTAAGATTATTTAGTTGATATTACTATTAGGCCCCACCAAAGCCCGCAGGTTTACAGGTCGGATTCAAACCCAATCCGGCTCTTAGTAGATTTTAGATTAATAAGCTTAATTTATAGATTAGATATAGATTTAAATATCTAATTTTTAGATTTTAACAGATACCTGCAGATTATTAAATTAAATAAATATTATAAAATTAGTAGATTATATAAATTATATAATTTTAATTATATTTTTAAAATATTATATTCAGATTTGAAATAGTTTAATATAGAAGATATTTAATTATATATAATTTTATAATAGTTATAATTGAAATATTTAATTTATTTATATATAATATTTATTTAATATAAAATAAATTAATTATTGTTATAATTGAAATATTTAATTTATTTATATATAATATTTATTTAATATAAAATAAATTAATTATTATTATAATATAAATATTTTCTAATTCTATCTAA